CGGCGCGCCCTCAGCGACTCGCCCCGCCCTCAGCGGTGCGTCCTCCCGGGCGCACCGCTGATTGGCTCGCCGAGGGGGCGGGGCCGGCCACTGTGGGCTGGATTTCCGCCCAGGACTTTCCTTTTCATTGGAAGAACTCTGCAAGTGACAACTCACGCCGAAGCCAAATAGGTAAAATAGATAAGAAGCGTACTTTTTGGTCTTGACTTACAACTGTGGGTGTGTAATATTTACCATAACACCCGGAAACCTATTTTGAGCACACTACTATAAATGGAGTGTAAGGAATGGAAACAATCGTCTTATGGGACAGGGCAGAGGGATTGCTTTGTGTTATCTGCTGGCCTTGCAATCTCAGGAAACTCTCCCAAGAGAAAGGGGCGAGTTTTACACACCAGGAGGAAATGAGAGACGTACACAAGTTATTGGCAACAAATTTTAAAGTGGCTTAAAATTTGATATATAAGGTAGTACTTGAGTGAACATGTTGTTTATTACAATTTTTTAAAAAATAAAATACACCTGACATAAACGTTATCATCTTAACCACTTTCTAAGTGTATAATTCGTCATTACATGCATTCACATTGTTGTGCAACCGTCACTGCCATCCCATCTCCTTAACTCTTTCATCCTGACAAACTGAAATTCTGGATCTATTAAACAACTCATCACTTCTGCTCTGCCCACCACCATTCCCCTTCGTATCTCTACGAATTTGACCACTCTAGGGACCTCCTATAAGTGGAAGTAGTATTTGTCTCTTTGTGGCTGGCTTATTCCACTCAGTATAATACTCTCAAGGATCATCCATGCTGTAGGATGTCAACATTTCCTTCCTTTTCTAAGGCTCAATAATACTCCGTTGTATTGTATACCAAAGTTTCTTCCCCTTGGTGGACTCTCGGGTTGCCTACACCTCTATGGCTCTTTTGAGTAATGCTGCTATGAATGAGTGTACAAATCTCTCAAGTCCCTGCTTCCAATTCTTTTTGGCATGCACCGGGAAGTGAGTACACTGGATCATATGGTAGTTTCATTCTTAACGTTTTGGGGAACCACTATACTGTTTCCCACAGTGGCTGTACCATTTTACATTCTCACCAACAGTGCACAAGAGTTCCAGTTTCTTCACATCCTTCCCAACACTGTTTTTTAGACCGGCCATTCTAATGGATGTGAGGTGGCCTCATGATTTTCATTTTCATTTCCCTAATGATTAGTGGTGTCCAGCATATTTGCATGTGCTTATGGGCCATTTGTCTGTCTTCTTTGGAGAAACATGTATTTGAGTCCTTTTCCCGATTTAAAATCAGGATGATAGTTTGAGGAAAGGGACTGCTATTGAGGTGCAGGAGTTCTTTCTTCTGGATATTAACGCTATCAGATATATGCTTTGCAAATATTTTCTCCATTTCATGGGTTCCCCCACTCTGTTGACTATATCCTTGGCTTACCACAATTTAAAAAAGTTAAAACATTTCACAAATAAAATGTGAAGCAGACCCCTGAAGCTTCTGGCAAGGACTTCAGAACTTCTGCACCACCCTCCCATGCCCACTGTCCTTCCCAGCACCCCCAAATGAGAAAGGTCCAGAGAACATACACACTCCGGTGCTCATGTTCTCTCTCTGACGTGAACCTCCCGAACCTGCTCACCTCCATGCAGAAGACAGTGTGCAGAAGACAGAAAGGAAGAAGGACACACGGAACCAGACACTTACTGCAGGAAGATCACTTCCAGTGCTTATGACCTCATGCACTGCAGAATGGATTCCAGAGCCCACATGCAAGAGGATCTTCAACGTTTACTACTTCATAGTGGAAAAGGTGGAACCCTAAATTTTATGAACATTTTTGCCCAGGAGGTTGAGCTGGTCTGCATCGACAAATTGCCCTTTTTCCTAGTTACAAACTTAACACTAGCGACCTGCTATATCTAAAATGTGTGAAATTAAGCATGCAGGTAAATGAAAGTTGAGGTGGTGAACACAAATACAGTGTACAGATGATGTGTTGCAGAACTGTGCCCCTGAAACCTGCATAATTTTGTCAACCAATGTCACACCAGCAAATTCAATAAATAGGAAAAAAAATAAAGGGGTTAAACAGAAAAAAGAAAAGAAAGTAAAGAGGTGTCTGTAGTCTATTTTTTAGCAGAGTTCCCTTCTGCATGCCTCAGAGGTAGAAAACTGTACCCACTGACTACCCACCCACAAGCCAATTCGATTGTATTTCTTTCTAAGAGTACTCAATGCATTTGTAGTCTGGGTTAGAATTTATAAATATTGCCAGGTTTTATTAATCAGCTTTCACAAGGTTGGCAAGACAGGAAGTTCTCTAGATCTTGAATAAAAGAGGTAGAAGACACACAAAAGTTGTGCAGATGCCAAGGGGTAAAAATTAAGTTAGTGGGGGAACTTTAGACAGAAACAGAAGAGAGGGGCTGCTCATCCATCAGGTCACACTACCTCCAAGGAAACTGGAAAAACGAACCCTCTGAATGAGAGCCACAGACGCTGAGAACGGGAACAGTTTAAGATACCAAGAGGTCTTTATTGAAATAATAGCACAGTTACACTTCTATTACCCTTTCCACTTGTATAAGATAGCTTAAAAATGCTCGCTACATACAGTGCACAGACAGTTCAATAATTAAAACCAAGTCAACTGCATCTGAAATAAATAAAATAGCCTATTTAATAATTTAAAGTGAAATTACTGTACAATATGAAAATAAAGATACGTTAAGTGTTAGGACCTACAGTGCCATTGAAATAAAATCATTATTCTGCAGTACATAAAACAGTGCAAGAAAAAAATCCAAATAAGCTTTTGGAGTGCAAAGTCTAAAATTTCCATTTTTACGTCATCATGCAGGTATAGCATTGCAAGCCATGCTATCGTCTATGGCAAAGTTGTCATTCTGAGAGGAGAATGCCAGCCAGGAAGTGGACTGTGCCGTCGAGGGCTGCATCGTCCCAGCCGCCGCTCTGCTGCCACAGTACAGTGTGGGAGGGAGGGATCCTGTTGCATTCAAAAAATTGAACTCAACAAGTTTCTGAAGCAAACACATTTACCTTTGAAGCCTGAGGCAAAATAACGTGACAAAAGAGTAATTATATCCTTGGTTAAGACAAAGAAAAAGCCTATGCCACTTAATGAACTAAGAAGCAGTTTCCCATCTATCTTTAAACTCCAGAATGATCCTCAGTGAAAACAAGCATGTAACTTTCAAGAGACATAAAGTTCTGACCTCCAGCTGGTAAGTGATACAATATCATGGGATTCTGAGAAAAGCAAAAATAACTTCTGAGCACCTATGTTTAATTAATCTGCATAAAACTTCGCTGTTTTACATGAACAATGGTATCTGTCATAAAAATGGTATCTGTCATAAAAGCCCAGACATCGTTAATATAATTGAACAATTTGTGTGGCATTGATGTAAGCTGTCAGCCAAGGAGAGTGGACTGGAACACACATGCATAAACAATGACAGCTTCACTATACTAGTCAGTGGGGATGGTAGACACTGTTAAGTGAACTTGTGCACTGTGTGGCCATTGCATTCAAAATGAGCAAGAGTAGAGCAGCGAAACTGTAACATCTTTTTAAAAGGATACTATTTATTTTTTTAGAGAGGGCAAGAGAGGGATAAAGGGAGGGAAACACCAATGTGTGGTTGCCTCTCTGGCATCCCCTACTGAGGACCTGGCCCACAACCCAGGCATGTGCCCTACCTAGCCTGGAAATTGAACTGGTGACCCCTCAGTTCATGGGGTGGCACTCAGTCCACTGAGCCACACCAGCTAGAGCCCTAACAAATTTTATGTTAAGCTTGAACATTCCTCTGTGCAAACTATTCAGATGATTCAGAATGCTAAACGATGGACAACTGGTGATTAGCAGCTTCTTCACGACAATGTACCCACTCATGCATCATGTCTCATGCAGAGTTTTTTGGCAAAACATCAGATCACCCAGGTGACTCCACCCCCTACAGACCAGATTTGGTGCCCTGTGACTTCTGTCTTTTCCCAAACCTAAAATCACCTTTGAAAGGGAAGAGATTTCAGACTGTTGATGAGATTCAGGAAAATACGGTGGGGCAGCTGATGGCAATTGGGAGAACTGTGTGAAGTCCCAAGGTGCCTTCTCTGAGGAGGACTGAAACATCATTGTCCTATGTACAATGTTTCTTGTATCTTGCATCTTGTTCAATAAAGGTCTCTATTTTTCCTATCACATGCCTGGATACCTTCTGAAAAGACCTTATATGTGCAAGCCTTTAATCTGTGTTGTTTGCTTTAGGACACTAGATTTTAGCTCAGTATGAAGACCTTCTCTCTACACCTCTAAGTGCACGACCTTGGGGAGTGGGTTCTCTCCCCCAGTGGTGGTCAAAAAGGGCTGAAGTCACCTCAGGGCTGCCCGGAAAGGCAACGGGTACTGTCCCTGAGACTTTACTATGTTACAATGCAGTGCATGTTTAAAAGGGGGTGTTTTAATACTTGTTCTCAGTTTTCACTATTTTCTGGGGATTCTAAGGTCAAGGTGGCTATAGTGGACTTTCCTTCAAAATGGTTTGTGAGTACCTGCCACTTTTGCAACGCCAGGTACAATTAACAGATTAGCTCAACTAAAGTAGCTGCCCCAGGATGTCTCCCAGGCAACACACACTCAGGGTGACCTGGGTCCCACATGTGTCTATAAACATTCAATGACCCTAGTTCCATAAGGCTTGAATTATCCAGACTTAGTGATGCCTGCCACAGGGTCACTGATGAGATCCTGTTCCAAAATTCACACTTCAAACTTCGTGGGGTGTGTCTTCACATCCAGTAGAAGATAAAACAGAGGGAAGAAGTTAAAAACAAAAACAAAAACAGAAATACATGTGTGTTTGTTAATTCTGATTGTCAGTAAAAATATTAATGTTTATGTTGGCCACTTTGTAGTATCAAGTATCTGTAGTAAATGGCTGTGAAAAATTTACATCACAAAATCCCAACACAAAAAGACCGCCTCCAAGCTGCGGTTCGAGTCCGAGTTCCTCTAGACACACGGGCCACCGGGCGGGTCCCTTCCACCTGCTGCTCCTGCGGCTCCTGCGGCTCCGGCAGCCGGGCCTGCCGGGCTGGCGGTGCTGCCCTCCTCGGGGCTGCCTTTGGCATCAGTCTGGAGCTGGGCCTTCCCTGCTGCTGCCGAGCCGTCCACGCTCCCTGAGGCCTCCCGGCCAGAGGTGAGCTCAGGGGGGGCCGGCTGCCTGCAGTGCTCCAGTGCCTCTCCGAGGGTGAGTGTTCTCCTGGGCCTCCACCAGTCCCTCTGGGCTAGAAAGTACAGAGTACATTTTGTTTCAGTTGTTTAAGTGACACACTGGGAAGGCTACTAATCACGCCTAACTGGCTTCTATGCAACGCTGAATTCATCTGGAGTGCCGGACTGTAAAGGTGTAAACACCCAGCCTCATGGAACCGTGCTGGGCAGAGTGGGACACGACGAGCCCCCTGGTCAGGACCAGGGGACCCGAACTGCCGACTCCTCCTGCCTGGTGAGAAGACAAACACTGTCTGAATACATGCTGAGTTCTGGGTGCTGGGGACACCGCGGGAACAGACCAGACAAACCCGGGCCCTGCTGGAACGTACTTGCAGGTCAGGGAGAGAACCCCGGGCAACAAACTAACAAACAAAGCATCGCGCCGTAAGTGGGCTGGGGCAGTGGGGCCCGTGGGCTACGCCGGAGGAACGGCTCCGGGTCATGAACAGCCAGCACCAAGGCTCCGAGTTCAAGGACTGGTCAGGAGTGGAGCAAGCGAGGAGGGGCCATGCAGGAACAGGTGGGGTGCGGGCAGACAGCGGGGGCCCCAGGCCACACGGCAATTTGGCGTTCAGGCTAAGTGGAGTGGGACGTCACCGGAGGACTCCTGAGATGACTGTCAGATCCACGTTCACTACAGAAGCCGGAAGGACGCCTCCACGTTCTCCAGACCCACGCGGATACCTGTCCGTATACTAGCTCCTTCGAAACGGGGTCTAATTCCTTCGGCTCTATTGTGTTCATAGCTACTTTTCAGGCTTTTACACGTGCAACTTAAACTTTGCAAAGGACAATACAAATCCCTGTCTCACACAGAAATGGGAATGTGCCTTTAAACAGTCGAAATGGTGGGGGGAAGTCCTCACATCCTGCAGGTCAGAAGCACAGTGAGGCCGGCCAACGATACCGATTTGGGAAGCCGAGGTTCTAGGTCCCCCGCCGCCTCTTCCAGCTGAGACTCAGCTCTGCTCTGGGCTCCCCGGGGCTCGGCCGCCCCCGGGGCTCCCTTCTCTCTCTCTTGAATGCTCACTGGGTGGTCTCCTGGGAATTCCCACCTGTGCTAACAAACTGCCATGAAAATCCGGACTAACTCCTGACCACAGCGAGGAGGACAGCGCATGCATGACCGGACCGCAGTGACAGAGCAGGGCAGGTCAGTTACCCACAGGTCTACAGGGAGCACCGAGGCCTCGAGCAAAGGCACAGAACACGAACCGTCGCTGACTTACACTGGACACCACCTCGGGGCGCTCTCGCGTCTCTGTGTCTGGCAAGTCAGACGTTGGAAGCACTTCTCTCCACTCTCTGTCTGATAAATCAGACACCTGGGGCGTTTCTCTCATGTCCGTCTCTGGTAAATCAGACACCGGGAGCACTTCAGGGCTCTCGTGGCCAGTGTGAATTCTCAAGTCAGCATCTCTCTCTTTCAAAACATGTCTCTTACCCTCAGACATTCTGTCATAAGGGCCTTGCTCAGAGGGGCCGATTTGGCCCCCACAGTAAGAGTCTGCATCACCTGCTCCGCCACTGGGTCTGAAGTCATTTCTCTGCTGCCGGCGCTGGTCACCTGGCTGAAAACCCTGGTATGGCTCTCTTCTGGGACCACCTGAACATCTCAGCAAATGAAGTGAGTTCCCAGCACCATAGCAGAAACCCTAGAAGGAAAAGACACACGTACTCCTGAGTACTTAATGGCTGACTTACAACAAAATTATCAAGGGCTTTTTATTCAGGGTGCTAACAAATTTTATGTAATTTAACTTGTGGCATTTGTGGATACAAACATGCTAATTTAACTTTTTTCATTAGAGGTCTCTACTACAGGGTAGCCAATGAAAATGAGAAATCACTCGGTATTAAGTAGACACTTCAATCATCTAGATGCATTCTGACCACATTATAACAATGGTGGTTAGGCTGAAGCCTAGAAATTTCCACTGGAAAGCGTTGTCTCATAATTGAGCATATGTTTTCTCCATTCACACCCATCACAGGAGGTAAATGCTGAAAACTGTTCAAAGTTGTACATCATTATGTCAACATTCTCCTGCAGGTTCATTTTTCTTTTCTTTTTTACTGCCATACAAACTTGGCCTCAGTCACAGCTGCGACCCAACAGGCTTTGAGTCAGGGTCCATGGAAACGCCCGGCAGCACTTCTCCAAGGGGGGGCCGGCGAGCCCCGGGAGGACCTGGGCGGTCCCCACTGCCCACGACACACAGGCAGGAGCCTCCCTCCCCTCCCGAGCGTAAGTGGAGTCTCCCGGGCCTCATGGACTTCCTCGCTGGTGGTTCACGGGCAGTGTGCTCGCACAGACTGGTATTTCAAAATTTCCTCAGTTTTAATTCTTACTATGTCAAGTATCAATAAATAAAACCCCCATAAATAAGAGCCTTTGTGGCCTCCAATTCTTGGGAATGCACGGGTCCCAGACACAAAATGTTCTGTAAACTAGAGATGCTCCTTTGTGAAGACAGAAGCAGCCAAGGCCTTTCTCCTCAGGCAGACAAAATGACAAGAGGTGACGGGCTTTGCACGTAATTTCAGTGTCAGAGACTGAAATTACAGTGTCACACACCTAACGTCACCTAGCAAACCCACGCCCCCAAACCACTGCGTCCTGTAACCAGAAACGGAAACAAAACCCACAGCAGCAACCATCTGAAAGTGGCGGTGAATTTGAGTCCTGAGGGAAGACACTCAGAGGCACACCTGAGGTCCTTAGGTTTTGTGTTACATGACGACCGCTCTGTGTGGGCCAGGGCTGAACACCGACGGCACAGAAAGCCAGACACTGTGGGGAAGGGGCCAGGCACATCCCCCTGTCAGGAACGCCTGCTCCTGGTCCCCAGACCGCCGGTGCTCTCGCCTTCTTCCACCCACACCCTTCCTGACGCTGTACAACCCCAGGCTGCTCCGACTCAGTGCTGCAAAAACTCGGACTGGGACAAGGAGGCCCATCTTCTCAAAGAGGATGTAAACAATTTACTTTGTATTAATTCACCAAGCGCAAAGAACCAATTTAAAAGAAGGTCGTATTTTAAATCACCGTCATGGCATCTACAAGCCAAGCTGAGCACCATGTCCGTGCTCAGGAGGAACACACGCGAGGTATGAATCAAGCTGTACCACCGAAAACCACCTTCTCCTACCACCAGGCGCTTTGCTGAAGCCTAATGACTCAGAAGTGCTTTGTTCCGTAAACCCCAGGGTCCACGGCGCTCTGTACTGACCAGGACGCCCAGGGCCACGATGATGAACAGTACAACTTGGTAGAGCACCGGGATCTCCTTCATGAGTGCTGTAACAAATTGACCAGTTCCTTTTCCAATATACTTCCATGGATCCATGACAAGGTTGATGAAGGTACCCCCCAGTGCCTAAAAAAGGTAAAAGCAACTTCATTTTTTTCCCCTCAAAAGACTAAAGCACGTACAATGGGTCAAATTCACTGGGCTAAGGCTGAAGTTGTGTTACATAAATGAAAATACTGCCATAAACTTTTAAAAATATGAAAATCACTTAACAAATATTTTTTTCCTAGAAAAAATGATAAACTATATGTTTATTAGCAAAATGACTCTGAAACAGTAACAAATTTTGCCCTGGCCAGGTAGCTCAGTTGGTTAGTATGTCATCCTAATACACCTAGGTTGCAGGTTCCATCCTGGGTCAGGGTACATGTAAGAATCAACCAGTGGATGCATAACTCTGTGGAACAACAAATCAACGCTTCTCTCTCTCCACCCCCTTCCTCTCTAAAATCTATAAATATAAAAAAATAGAGTAAAAATACTAACAATTTTTAATATATGCAAGAGTTTTTTTCACTTACTTTATATAAGTAATTTTTAAAATTATATTTTATTGATTATGCTATTACAGTTATCCCAATTTTACCCCCTCTGCCACCCTCCAGCCAGCACTCCCTCAGGCAATCCCCACACCAATGTTCCCCACCTAACTATTCAAGGACCCAAAAACCAGGCACCTAGAGCACCTGCCAATTACACACCCCCATCTCCAACCCCTGCCTCCACCCCTCACCTGATGCAAGGTTAGATACTAGCTCTAAATGGATTCTCTCTTATTATGAAAGAACATATTTACATTTTAAAACCTTCCACCTAATACCTTATATAAGTACATTCAATCCCATGTTGAATGGACAAGAAAAGGTACCAATAAAGAACATATGAACTTGGTATAATGCCGAACATATGTCCACAGCTTGATAGCCACTAACAGCACGATGCACAGCAGACACAGAAGCACCTTGAAGACGGAAAGAAGCAGAGACGGCGGGTCACTGTCAGGCTGTCCTCCTGCCAAAACTGTACCCGTCAACAAAAACAAAAGAACTGAACTCAAATGCACAAAACTATTTGCTCCAAGTTCATCAGTACCGTATTAGTGCCCTAGTACAGGTTTTTAACATAATTACGGTGAGGGGATAAAAGTATTTAAATAAACCCTGTTAACCACACCCCCTCCTCGAAGCTTACCATAAACACATTATACGGATCCACGCCAAAGGAGTCTTCAAATCGTGACTTCGGCTTTTCAGAATCATGAAACGTAAAAATAATTAAAATATCACTTAATTCAGTTGTAAAAAGAGCGTATTGTTAATGAAGACTAAAATTTTAATTTAACCTTTTTTAAAAGATTTTATTTATTTTTAGAGAAGAGAAGGGAGGGAGAAAGAAACACCAATGTGTAGTTGCCTCTTGTACACCCCCTACTGGGGACCTGGCCCGCAACCCAGGATCGTGCCCTAATTGGGAATCAAATCTGAAACCCTTTGGTTTGCAGACCAGCACTCAATCCACTGAGCCACACCAGCCAGTGCTTAATTTCATCATTTTATGACTTTGCTTGTTCTTCAACTGTATTGAACTACCCAATAGGTAAGTCTCAAATACTAACTGATAACTAAAATCAAATTAGTTTACTAGCTGATGGGTTTTACACTCAAATTCAAAACTGAAATGATCTTAGACTAGGAGTGTCATGAAAGATCCTGTGTGACTGCTAACCACTGTATCCACACGCCTCGCAGAGTGCTGAGCAAACACGCACACGCACAGACCGTCTCCGTCACGGCACTGGCGAGGCTGCACGCGCCCACGCGTGGTTGCCGATACCTGAGGTTTCCTCATCGTTCCTGAGGCTGCGTCATAGTTGAGCATGTCAGTGGGGTCGATCCAGTCGTCATCGTGTGCGTAGCCGGTTACCAGCCACAGACACGCACAGAGCAGCCGAGAACACAGCATCCTGCATGGAGACCAAGAACAATCCATAATAAACACGGTGAAATGTAATTACTTTTACAAGAAACTGTAATAACAACTGTCTACGACTTTCTAGTGCTAAGATAATGCTTTCTTTCTGAACTGAAAAAAGACTTAGCAAGATGATATTCACAAATAAATACACATCCATTCTCATTAAGACAAAACGAAAATTAGGATTTCCCACATGATTCAGCAATTCCATCCCTAGGTATGTACCAAGAAATGAAAATATAAGTCCACATAAAAACTTGTACACATGGACTTCTGGCCAAGATATAGGCGTAGGCAGACACACTGTGCCTCCTCGCACAACCAAAATAAGGACAACAATAATTTAGAAACAAAATAACAACCAGAACTGACAGAAAATTGAACTGTGTGGAAGTCGGACAAGCAAGGAGTTAAAATAGACACATTCATCCAGACCGGTAAGAGGAGCGGAGTCGGACAGCCTAGAGGGGGTCACGGCAGAATAAAAACAGTGGCACCGGGCGTGCAGGCAGTGGCTGGCAGACCCCGGGCACAGGGTGGCAAAGGAAAGACCCAGCAAGACAGTCACTGTGAAGCTGGGCATGGCACAAGGTGGCTGGCTGACCCAGCGGTCCCACATTTACACACAGATAAACCAGGCGAAACTGAGGAGCGGGACAGACCACACAACCCAGGGTCCCAGCATGGGAAACTAAAGACTCAAATCACCGATTGAAAACACCTGTGGGGGTTGAGGTGCTGGGAGAGACTCCCAGCCTCACAGGAGAGTGCGCTGGAGAGACCCACAGGGTCCTAGAAAGTGCGTAAGTCCACCCACCTGGGAATCAGTACTAGAAAGGTCCTATTTGCTTGGGGGAAGCGCAGAAGGAGCTGAAATCCAACAGAGACCAGAGCAAGCACAGTTCCCTCTCGGACCCCTCCCCCACATACAGCATTACAACCCAGTAACTGGGCTGCCCCACCCTGATTAACACCTAAGGGTCCACCCCTCACTATGTAACAGGCACATCAACACACACACACACACACACAAAATGGCCCAAATGAAAGAACAGATCAAAGCTCCAGAAAAAATACAACTAAGCGACAAAGAGATAGCCAACTTATCAGATGCACAGTTCAAAACACTGGTAACCAGGATGCTCACAGAATTGGTTGAATTTGGTCGCAAATTAGATGAAAAAATGAAGGCTATGCTAAGTGAGATGAAGGAAAATGTACAGGGAACCAACAGTGATGGGAAGGAAACTGGGACTCAAATCAATGGAGTGGACCAGAAGGAAGAAAGAAACAACCAAACAGAAAAGAACGGAGAAATAAGAATTCAAAAGAAAGGAGGGAGAGGCTTAGGAACCTCCAGGACATCTTTAAATGTTCCAACATCCGAATTACAGGGGTATGGGAAGGAGAAGAGGAAGAGCAAAAAGTGGAAAAGTTATTTGAACAAATAATAAAGGAGAACTTCCCCAATCTGGCAAAGGAAATAGACTTCCAGGAAGTCCAGGAAGCTCAGAGAGTTCCAAAGAAGTTGGACCCAAGGAGGAGCACACCAAGGTACATCATAATTATATTACCCAAGATTAAAATGAAGAAGAGAATCCTAGAAGCAGCAAGAGACAAGGAGGCAGTCACCTACAAAGGAGTTCCCATCAGACTGTCAGCTGGTTTCTCAAAAGAGACCTTACAGGCAAGAAGGGGCGGGAAAGAAGTATTCCAAGTCATGAAAGGCAAGGACCTACATCCAAGATGACTCTATCCAGCAAAGCTTTCATTTAGAATGGAAGGGCAGATAAAGTGCTTCTCAGATAAAGTCAAGTTAAAGGAGTTCATCATCACCAAGCCCTTATCTTATGAAATGTTAAAAGGACTTATCTAAGAAAAAGAAGATAAAAAACATGTACAGTAAAATGACAGCAAACTTAAAATTATTAACAACCATACCTAAAACAAAAGCAAACTAAGCAAACAACTAGAACAGGAACAGAACCACAGAAATGGAGATCACATGGAGGGTTAGCTACTGGGGAGTGGGGGGAGGAGAGGCGGGGAAAAGGTATGGAGAATACGTAGCATAGACGGTAGGTAGAAAATAGACAGGGGAAGGGCAAGAATAGTATGGGAAATGTAAAAGCTAAAGAACTTATGACACATGGCCATGACCTAAAGGGGGGGAATGTGGGTGGGAGAGGGTGTGCAGGGTAGAGGGGAATGGGGGGGTGGGGAATGGGACAACTGTAATAGCATAATCAATAAAATATATTAAAAAAAGAATTTTTAAAAAACCTTGTACACAAATATTTATAGCCACATTATTCACAATATCCACTAAGTAGGGAAAAAGTGTCCACTGATTGACGAATGGGCAAATAATATGTGGTATATCCACAGAATGGAATATTATTAGGCCATAAAGAAGAATAAAAATGTATTTTTAGGAATGAAGTATTGATACATGCTACAATATGGAGGAACCTGGAAAACATTATGGTATGTGGAAAAAAGCCAGCCACCATAAAACATATTATATGATTCCACTGATGTGAAATGTCCAAAATAGGCAATTCTATATATAGAGAAAGTAGATTCATAGGTACCTAGGGCTAGGGATATGATAAGGGACAAAAATGTGTTAGTTAAATGGTACAGGGTTTCTCTTTGAGGTGATGACAAATGATCTAAAACTGTGGCAATGGACACATACATCTGTGAATATACTAAAAACCACTGCAATATAAACTTTAAATGGATGAATTGTATGTGAGTGATTTCTAAGTAAAACTCTTATAGAAAAAAACAGGTATTTTAACCAAATCGCCCCCATTGCTTTCTAACAAATGGGAACCATGAAAGGTGCACAATGAAGACCCAGACCCCAGTAAAGATGGCACTAAGTAAGTAGTGTTCGCCTCCTCCCACGACCACATCGAGATCACAACTGCATCAGAGCGCCGCCATCATTAACAACCGCCTGCAAGCAGCTCTCTCTGGAGCATTCCCCCAACTTTGCTCTTCCCTTCCCCTTTCCTTCCCTCAAAGTGCGTACCTTTGCTTTCTTTCTCCAAAGTTCCAAGGGCCCTTCTTTTGCCTCCGTAACTTTTTTCCTAAGTGCACAAAGTCCAGGAGGCTCACTTCTTCTACATCTGTTACTTTCATAATCAGCTTTTGCTGGTTAAAAAAAAAAAAAATACCCTGACCAGTGTGGCTCAATGGATTGAGCAACATCCCACAGAGCAAAATGTAACCAGTTCGAATCCTGATCAGGGCACATGAATGGGTTGCAGATTCAGTCCCTGAGTGGGGCACACACAAGAGACAACAGATCTACATTTCTGTCTCATGTTGATGTTTCCCTTCCTTTCCCTCTTTTCCCCTTGCTTTAAAAAATAAAATAAATAGCCCTGGCTGGTGTGGTTCAATGAATTGAGTGCCAACCTGCAAACCAAAGGGTTTCCTGTTCAATTACCAGTCAGGGCACACACCTGGGTTGTGCCAGGTCCCTAGTAGGGAGTGCATGAGAGGCAACCACACATTGATGTTTCTCTCCCTTTCTCCCTCCTTCCCTCCCTCTAAAAATAAATAGATAAATGAAATCTTTTAAAATTATAAAATAAATAAAATCTTAAAAAAACACCTGCAGACTAGACAAAAAGAATTGTATAACTAAGGATACACAGCCATGTCAAGCCATGTCAAGACTGGTAGATGAGGCTGAGACACAAAATGGGTTGGTCCCACACCCACAGTGTGGCAATTAGGAAATGGGAGGGATACCTTGGCTGCAAAGGTTCCCCCTGAGAAGTAAGGAAGTCCTAGCTCAAACCAGGATCCCTACAACAGGTCATCAGTGCTGGGAAGGGAAAACCCCATAACATCTGGCTGTGAAAACCAGCAGGGTTCGCATCTGAGGAAAACAGGGGGCTGCAGGCCCTGACTGGTGTGACTCAGTGGTCTGGGCTTCATCACACAAACCAAAAGGTGGCTTGGTTGGATTCCTAATCAAGTCAAATGCCTGGGTCGCAGGCCAGGTCCCCAGCTGGGGGGGTGTGAGAGGCTACTGATAGATGTTTATCTCACACATTGCTGTTTCTCTCCCTCCTTCCCCTATCTCTGAAAATAAATGAATAAAATCTTAAAAAAAAAAAGACAAGGGGTTGCCAGAGGCCTAGATGTTCCCCTCGAGGAGCCCAAGCCAAACTCACTTGCTATGGGCTGCAGTGCAGGTGTGGGAGCTGCAAGAGCACTGGGAACACGGGGGATATAAATAGTTACATAAAGAGATATAAAGACAAAAGGAGTTCATCGCCACTAAACCATCACTACAAGAAATCTTAAAGGGACTTTGCTAAGTAGAAAAGCAAACATCAAAATATGAATTACAAAATACAGTAAGGAAGAAATTCACACTCACAAAGACAAACAGTAGAAGCAGTGGATCAAGCAACTGTAAAGCTAGTACAAAGACAAAGAAAAACTAAGAAGTTAATGTATAAATACAACAACACATTACTGGATACACACAAACACACAAAATAAAAAATGACAAAAACAATAAACATGGAAAGGATGAGTAAATATTGTAGGGGTTTATGAATGTATTCAAATTAAGCAACCATCAACTAAAAGACTGCTTATAAACATAGCTTGGTATATATAAAGCACATGGTAACCACAAACCAAAATCTACAAAATAGAAGAAATAAAGGGAAAGGAAACTAAACACAACACTGTAAGAAGTCATCAACAGACAAGATAACAAAGGAAGAAAATTATGGAAAAGAGGAGAACCACAAAAACTATCTAAAACCAATTCATAAAATAGCAATAACCACATACCTGTCAATAATTATTTTAAATGTAAATAGACTAACTGCCCCAATCGAGGACATAGGGTGACTGAATGGATAAAAGAAAGACCTGTACATATGTTGCCTATGATAGGCCCACTTTAGAGAGAGGACAAACTGAAAGTAAATGGATAGAAATAACATT